TGTGCCACTTATTATCTACATGAATCTGGCTAAGTTACTTAACCTCTCCTGGTCTCAGTTTCTTCAAATATAAAATGAGGGGATAGGACTAGATGGCCTTTGGGGTCTCTTCCATCTCTAAATCAATGATCCAAGAGTAAAATTTCATCCCTGCCCTCATGGAACTTAGAGTCTAGCAGGGTTGATAAGATATGTCTAATGTAAGGTATAATGTGAAAATACAATAAAGGAGGTACAAAGTACTTTGTTAGTTCAAAGGAGGGAGAAATCACTCCCAGACGAGGGGATCTTAGAAATTTTCATATAGGAGCTGTCATTTGATCTGGGCCTTGAAGGATGTTAGAAGGTTGAGCTTGGGAAGGGTAGGGTTGGCTTGTTGCTCAGTTGTGTCTTGCTGTTTGTGACCTCATTTGGGGTTCTCTTACCAAAGATACCAGAGTGGTTTTCTATTTCCTTCTCCAGCTCATTTTACCGATGAGGAAACTGAGGCAAACAGGGTTAAGTGACTTACCCAGAGTCACACAGTTAGTACATATCTGACACCAGATGAGTCTTCCTGACCCCAGGCCTGGCGCTTTATCCACTGTGCCACCTAGATGCTGGGGTAGGGTTGGGGAGGCCTGCCAATCAATTTAGTAAACATTTCTTAGGGACCTTCTATGCCCTAGGCACAATACTAGGTACTGACGATACAAAGACAAAAATCTAAATAGTTCTTGCTCTCAAGGACCTTACATTCTATAAGAAAAAACAACATGCATGCATGTAAGTAAATATAAAATATATGCAGTGTAAAGATAATTTTTTTGGGAAATACCAGTGAGGGGAGAAGAGGTAAGGCTTCCTAAAGGAAATGAGCTTTGAGATAAATTTTGAGTTGCAGATGTTACAGTAGTGGAGACAAGATATAGAGGTGAGAAAGAGAGTGAATTCCAGGTTTGAGGGAGAGCCAGGGCAAAGACCTAGAGAAAGAAGAGGAAATGTACATGGACTGCAATTAGGCTAGTATGACTGGAAGCTAGTATTTCTGGTAATAATAGTAATGGGTAACATATAATTAGTAATAATAATAATAATAGCTAGCATTTATAAAGTGTTTTAAGTTTTGCAAAGTGCTTTATTATCTCATTTGATATTAACAACAACCTCTGGAGGCAGGAGCTATTTATTCTTTTGAAGGTGAGGAAACTGAGACAGACAGAAGTTAAGTGACTTCTCCAGGGCCACAAAACTAGTGTATTTCTGAGGCTGGATTTGAATTCGTGTCTCTCTGACTCCACGTCCACTTCTATTTATTGCACCACCTAGATACCATTACTAATGTGTAAAAAGTTTGGAAAAGTAGGCCAGATTCAGAGTGATATTCTATGTACCTGTCACATAACCAAGAAGCTCCAATATCTTACATGTAAGGTTAAATTGACCTATCCCAGGGAGTGTGGCCCTGGAATTAATCTGAATACCAAAGGAGATTCCAGGAATAGAGTGACTCAGTGCTTAAGACTTTTGGGAATGATGAACTTCCTGGTTGCTTCTGGCCATGTGGTGGTCCAGAGCTGAAAGGACTTGTTACGTTGGTATGACATGGAAAATCCTTTGTGGTTCCTTAGTACCCCTCTTCGCCTCTCGACAGTGACAGGGAATCGAGGTGCTTCATCAGTTAAAAGGAGAAACAGCTTTTAGTTGGCTCTCTCTTTCTTTTACCCTCCAAGTGGCATCTAAGATTTCCAGTGAGTGATGGGGGCTGGGCCATCCCCATCTTGGCATCAAGATAGCCACTCACTAACGGCAAACTCCTCTAGGCAAGCTTGTCCCTAGACTTCTCAATTCCTTTTCCACTTTGTGTTTCCTTAGGTAATTGAATATCAACTTAGAGGTAGAAGTGTCCTGGTTTGGGGGCAGCTTTGAGAGTTCAAGAGATCATTGAATTGAGCTTACTGGCAGCAAGGTGAGTTTCTTCATCAGATAAGATGATCACCAAAAAAAGACACCAAGCCACTAGTTTGGCTTTTGACACTACAGAGGGAGGGAGATAGACAAGATGAAATGTGAAAAGCTTCATCAGTAGTCTTGCAAACTGCTTTATGTTCTTAAGAGGATTAAGTATTAGCCTCCAATCAAATTCTAACAATTGTTATGAAGTTGTTCTGTCAAAGTGCACTGGGGGTGGGGATTGGGAGTGGAGAGAGAAGGTGCTTGAGTAAGGGCATAGTAAAACAATGTCTGGAGAGTCCAGAGTTGAGCATGAATGAAGACAAGGCTGATCTGGGTGAGTGTCTTAAAATGAAGGCTCTGGGAGGAACCAGCCAATCAGTGGACAGGGCTAGAGGTAGTTGGTACCTCTGAGGTGTGAATTCCAGGGCCAAAAGGATCTTCCGAAATGAAGAGTTTTCTGGAGCATGACAGAGGAGTCTGGATTGAATCCTGTTGAGAAATGAATATGAAGAACTAAATAACATGATGAAGCAGCATGGGTCAGGAGAAAGAGGACTGAACTAGGAGAAAGGCTGTATGGTGCAATGGCAAGAATACTGGATTTGGAATCAGAAGACCTGAGCTCCTTTATTTACTTCTGGTGTGACCAGAAGTTGATTTACATTTCTATTTCTTAGCCTGTAAAGTTAGCCCAGAGGTCCTTATAAGCTCTATATCTATGAAGGTGGAAACCTGAATTCTAGCTGGGTCTCAAAGGAGTAAGAAGGACTGGAATTTAAAGTCCCTGAGGGCAGGAACAGTTTTATTTTACCTTTATATCTTCAGGGCATAAGGCAACACAAAGTAAGGGTTAGAGATCTGGCTTAGGAGTATGGAGAACCCAGAGTTCAAGGCACTTCTCTGCCACCCTAGGCAAGTCATTTAACTCGTCACACCTCTGGAGCACCCATCAATTAAGGAATAGCTAAACAAATCAAGGTCTTTGAATGTGATGGAAGTGAAATGAAGAGAATGGTTTCAAAGGGGAAGACTTGTATGAACTAATTCTGAGTGAAGTAAACTGAGTCAAGAGAACAATTTTCAAAATAAAAAAATATTGTAAAGATAAACAACTTTGAAAGCCTTAGGAACTCTCATCAACACAATGACCAAATATGATTCTAGAGGACTCATGACAAAACATGCCTTATGTATTGACAAGATGCAAAGAGTGCAGATTGAGAGATATGTTTTAGATATGGCCAATATGGGAATTTGTTTTGCTTTACTATACATGTTTGTAACAGAGGTTTTGCTTTTCTTTTTTTCTCAGTGGGAATGAGAGGGAGGTGAGGAGGAGAGAAGGCAAAGTTTTGTTGATTGAAAAAAAATTTAGTTAAAAAACTTGTCACATCCATATTCAAAAAAATACCAGTGGCTCCCTATTACCTCCAGGATCAAATATAAAATCTTTTGTTTAGCTTTTAAATCTTTCAGATCTGTTCCCTTCTTACCTTTCTAGTCTTCTTACATCTTACTCTCCCCTTCAAGCATTTTGCAGTCCAGTAACATTGGGCTGCTTGGAGTTCCTCAAACAAGACACTCAATTTCCAGACTCTGGGCATTTTCACATTTTCTGTGCCTGGAATTCTCTCTACCTTCATTGCTATCTCCTGGCTATCTTGGCTTCCTTTGAGTTCCAGATAAAATTTCACCTGCTATAAGAAGCCTATCCCAATTTCTCTTAGTACTAATGCTGTATCCTGTATATATCTTGTTTGTGCGTAATTATTTGCATGTTATCTCTCCAATTAGATTGCGAGCTCCTAGGAATCAGGACATTTTTTTTTTGCCTTTCTATCCTCAGAGTTTAGCACTGTGGTGGGCGATTAATAAGTGCTCACTGCCCCCTTTGCAGAACACTTGCAGATATGCATGGATGGATCGTTACCCGAAACTCCCTATGGCTACAAAATCGCAAATCAAGATTAAAAAGAAACCTCCAATAGTGCTTATAGTGTACGGGAACACGTGAAGGATCAATGATTTTTCTGTTGGGCGGAGGGGAGTGGATAGACTTGTGATTTCACCAATGTGGGGAACTCCTGGTGTGAAAACCACACCAATGCAGACCAGCAACTAGTATGTAACTTATCATTTTAGGGAGTTTTGTGGGAGGACTATGAGATTAACTTGTCCTTGGTTACACAGCCAAAGTGAACTAGATCAGAGGAAGGACTTGAAACTAGTGTCTCCCTGACTCCAAGGCCAGCCCTATGTACTATAACAAGCTGCTTCTCAAGGCCTGGAATTTCACAAAGGCGAGCTCCTGATGTGGAAACTTCTTCAGTTAATGCAGACCACAGACCTTCTATGTAGATAGTGGTAAAAATTTGTTGAACTGAATTTAAAGTTAATTAACTTCTTTGCTTTTGGGTTTCCTCAGCTGTAAAGTGAAGGTGTGCATATCTGCTTTTCCTACGTCACAAAGCTGTAGCCAGGACCTGAGAAGACAACATAGACGAAAGTACTTTGAAACAACAAAGCTCTTTTCTCCCAGACAGAACACATTGTGCTTCTGAGTGAGTTAAGGAGTTTCTAAAGTTCTAGGAAAACTTTCAGGCCATAAGCGTATCGTTGGGTAGACTGAGGCCAGAACTTTCTAACAATGAAGCCCGGAGTGGACCCACTACTCCAACCCCTGCTTCCTACGTTCCCTCAACCTCCCAACTCCAGCTCTCAGCCACTCTTCTGTCCTAGAATTAGGAGCAGGGGAAAAATGGGAAAGGAGCCGAGGCAGTGTGTGTGTCTGTGTGTGTGTGTGTGTGTGTGTGTGTGTGTGTGTGTGTGTGTGTGTGTGTTGGGAAAGGTTGCCCTCCTCATGGGGAGCTCCTCTTTCCTAGGTGTGTGTGTGTGTGTCTGTGTGCCCCACACAGGGAGCTCCTCTTCCCTGGGGTGGCCTGGGTTTGTGTCTTTGTCCTCCCCCAGCTCTCCTCCCTTTCCCCAGCCAGGCTGGAGGGAGGAAGGGAGAAGAGGAGGAGGAGGAGGAGCCGGGGGCGGGGGCGGCGCCAGGCAGCCCGGAGGGGCTGGGCGTCGGGGGACCTACACACTCGCACACCCACACAAAGAGCGGCTCGGAGCTGAGGGCCGCGAGCTGCTGGCTGGCTGGCTCGGGGTCTGAACTGTGCCTCCCCCGACCAGTGCCTGGGCTTGTCGCCCCCAGCCTCTCTTGCCCATGGCTCCGATGGGGCCTCCGCTCCAGCCCTGAACCCGAGACCCTGGAGAACCGACATGCTGCAGCTGCCCCAGGAAGGCTGATCGAGGAGAAAGAGTGCCCAGGAGTGGCGAGAAGCGGGGGACACCTGAGGTAAACTGAGCGGTCCTGGGGGCGGATGGTGAGGGTTGAGCCCCGAAGAGGATGGGGAAAGTGCTCCTGCTCTCGGTTTCCACGTAACTGGAAACCCTTGACCTTGAGGTTGGCTGGGGGCGGGGGGGCGGATAAGTTCTGGGACTGGGAGACCATGGACCAAAGAGGGATGGAGCGCTTTGTGGACCCCATTGGTGACGGAGGAAGGAGCACCGGGGAGCATCCCCCCTCCCTTCCTACGTGCGCCTCTTCTTTCTGTCCCATTCTCTCGGTCTTGGCGCAACCCCTTCTCTGTGTCTTTCTGCTCTTTTCGAATTCCCCGACGTTGAGGCCGTTTAGAAAGTTCCTGCGGAGTGAGTAAGCTTGTCTGTGTCTGAGGGGGAGAGGGAGTGTCGTGGGACTGGGGACTCTAGCCGAAGTTCCGGCCCGTCCCCCTGCACGTGCGGCCAGCGGGGCCACTCTCGCATCCTGCGTCCTCCAAGAAAGCGGCCAGCTGGCTGGGCGCGGGGTGTCCCCTTCACTCCAACCCCCCCCCTTTGTGTGCCCACTAGTGCAGTCCTAGCAAGCACTGGTAACTGGGGCAGTTGGCTAAACTTTGTCGTGGCCTGGAGGGTTTTCCTTTTGGGAGTGCTTCTCTCTTTTAGAGAGAACACTTTCCACCTCCCACCCAATGAAAGCTCCCCATCCCCTGAGGCCTGAGTAAAGAGTATTGCTGTCAAAAGAGACTCCTTTGTTTCCCCTCTAATCTTTCTATTGTAGTCCGCCGAGTGATCTATCAACTGCTGCCTAGATCCCCGCTGGTTCCTTCAAAGTTTCAGTTGCAGAAGAGGAAGAAATAACAATAACGAGCTTCTAGATAGAGCTTTAAGGGTTGCAGAGCATTTTATAAAATATTTAATTTTATCCTCAAAGTAAGCCTGGCAGATGAGGTGCTATTTTTATACCCATTTTACAGATGAGGAAACTGAGACAGCAGTTAAGTGACTTTCCCAAGGTCACATAGCTAGTGACAAGTGTCTGGGGATTGGATTTTAAACAGATTTGTCCTGATTCCAAGTCCAGCCCTCTCCAGGCCTCTAGTTGCCTAGAAAGAGCGCTTGATGTGGATTTGTAGGACTTAGTTCACTGATGCTTCCCTTCTGTGTTTTTGGGTAAGCTCCTTAATCTCCTTGGGCCTCAGTTTCCTTATCTGTAAAATGGACGGTGATGTTGGACTAGATGGCAACTGAGGTCTTTTTCAGGCTCTAGATCTATGATGCTGTGAGGAAGAAAAGCTCTCTTGAGTCTCAGGTTTGATCAACACAGGTAAAAAGGAAAGGAGCTCTTGTCAGCTGATTGTGTACAGTGGATAGAGTGCTGGGCTTGGAGTAAGGAAGACCTGAGTTCAAATTTTGGGTTTCCTCAGCCGTAAAGTGGAGCTGCTCTTATCTGCCTTTCCTAGCTCACAAAGCTGTAGCCAGGACCTGAGAAGACACTTACAAGCCGTATGACCTTGAGCAAGTCACTTAAAACTCTTTGCCTCAGTTTCCTCAACTGTAAAATGGGGATAACAACAGCACCTACCTCACACAGTTGTTGTGAGGCTCAAGTAAGATATTTGAGGGTAAAAAGTACTTAACTGCAATGCCTGATACGTGGTAGGCTCTATATAATTGCTTGTTCCTTTCCCCTGTCCTTTCCCTTCCCTTCATCTTCTGTGAATCTTAGGGAATCCAGTTGCCATTTGGTGGTGGTGATCTTTGTTTTGGGAATCATTTGCAGAGACACCAGGCACTTGTTTTGTGACCTTAGTATAGTTGCTACCCCTTTTTGGATATGTTTCCAGTTGAGTAGAAAGAAAAAGTAGGACTAGATGATCTATGAAGGCCACTTGCAATTTAAACATTCTATGAGTGTATGAGAAAACATTACTTGTGTCACAATAGGGATTCAAAGTTGTCTACTGCTCAATCTGCTGGGGCTTGTATATTAAGTGTCCTTACCTTCATTCTTGGGTGTCTCCTAATCTTATAAAGTAACTGGTACTTGGTCCTTGTCTGTCAGTTTTCACTTAAGAGAAAAGGTTGTAATACTGTATTTGATACAGCAACATACTTTTGGAAGGGTGTTGGTAGAGCAGGATTCTTAACCTTTTTTGTGTCATAGACCCTTTGAGGGGGGGTGTCTTATGGACTTCCCTATGAAGCCTAGGGACTCCTCAAAATAATATTTTTAAATTCATATAATAAAATACATAGATTTACAAAAGAAAGCAATTATATTGAAATACAATTGTCAAAATATTAAAAATAACAAATTTAGAGACCTGAATTTAAGAATTCCTGTGCTGGGGATGCCCAATCTCTGCTTTACAGGTTCTTGGAAATGGGCAGCTTTCTACTTTACATTTACTGAGTTCAGTCTAATGTATACCATAGTTGGCTGCTGTGTGGCATAGAAATGTTTCCAGTGTGTTCATTTTTATAAAATATTCATTGTCATAATAATAATGTTAGGTGTGTTTGCTATTATTAAATTTCTTGTGAATTTTGATAAAATAATAAGGAATTGACAGATGCATTTAAAGTTCCCTAAAATGGTGAACTTAAGGGTTTTTTTTTTTTTTGGCTAGGCAATGGGATTACATGACTTGCCCAGGGCCGCACAGCTAGTGTTTGTGTCGGAGGCTGGATTTGAACTCAGGTTCTCCTGACTCGAGGGCCCATGTTCTGTCCACTGTGTCACCTAGCTGCCCCTTAAAGTTCTTTCCCAGAACTGACTTTTGCAATTATTTTAGTATTCCTTTTTTTATTTGTCTAAATTAAGAGTATGGTATGTTTTTTGCTTTTTGTTTTGTTTTTGCATTTGAATTTGCAATGCTAACTTTGCTAACTTCTTGAGCAAAGACAGTATATACCTCTTTGTATCATTTTTTGGTGTCTGTTCAAGGTTACCAGTAACATCTGAAAACTTTTTCCCTGGGGGAAAAACTGTACAGTGGCCAAAAAAAAAAAAGATTGTTTCTTGTCTGTGCATTAATTGGGCAGGAGTACAATGCCAGTGATGTCAAATTAGTTTCATTTTTAGCCATTATCCACATCACCCACAAAAACTGTACTATAATTTTAAAATTACTACAATGTGGTGACTTCTGCTATATCCAAAATGCTTTTCTCATCTTTTAAAAACCAGACCTTCAAATAGTGGTAGTGTGATAATTTTTGTGCTCTTTGTAGTAAATATTATGTTAGTTTGTCCCTTTCCCTAATGTTGAATTAGAAAGTTTATGTGTGAATGAATAAGAAAGAATAGTAGGAATTTAGTTTAAAAAAAAAAGGTAAGGTCTTTTATTTTTCCAAGTTACTATATTATTATGGGTTAGCCTTCCTTCTGGAAAGTAGCATAACCTAGTGGAAAGAACATTAAACCATGGAATTAAGAGACTCTGACTAAACTTTAGTCACTAAAGCATTGTCCATAGAGAGCTGGCCTCAAAGTGGGACAGATCTGGGTTCAAGTGAGCCTTATTTACTGTCTGACTCTGGGCAAGTATATTCTCAGCGCTCTGGACAATTCTCTTAAGACTATAATTGGCAGAGAAGGTGCTGATCGGCATTGGTGAAAGGGGTTTTCTTACCTAGAGCTCCATATACCAGTGAAGTTGCAAGGCAAATCCCTATCCCTACTAAACTTCTGAGTGATTCAGTTTCTCCTTCTGCAAAATGGAGACAATGATTGGCCTTAGTTCAAGAAGAAACTCTTTAGTTCGAAGATAATATGTGAAAATGTTTTAATCCTTTAGAAAGAGACTGTAAAAAACCTTTCAAATCTGTTATAAAGGCATTTACAAGGGAATATCAAAATGCCTTTGTTTTTATATTGGAGTTTTGTTGTATTGCCTGTAATATAAGTTGTTGGAAATCTTTTGTTGTAGTAAAGCCTAGGATGTCTTCCACCCAACCACATGTCCTCAAATCCTCCGTAGAGAAGCTTCTATTTCTCTGCATGGTAATGCCTCCCCTTTATCACAACCTGTTTAAAGAGTTCATTTTGATCAATATATGCACTTTAAAGGTGTTTGGACAGAAGACTTATAAGATAAGACCTATAAGGCAACTTCTGCATTTCTTTCCGATTCCCTGGAAGTAGGTCAGAGGAGTGATCCTGTTGATGGGGAGTGGGCTGGGACATTACTTCTTTAGTACTTAAAAAAATGATAGCCAGGCCTATTGAGAACTGCTTTAACACCAGTACTTTCTCTGTCTGTCTCCTGAGTGTATTGTGTAATTGTGTAGGCTACATTTTGCTCTTAAATTTGTCTCTCCTCTAGCTTCATTCTTGACCCCCCATTCATATTCAAGTTCCATGCAGTTCTTCATACCGTAATTCTTTTATCCAAAACAAATACTTCAGTGCTCTTTGTTTGCTTAAGAAATTAGTTGCAATCCAGAATTCTTCATTAACCAAGTGTAAAAACGGAAGAAGAAAAAAAGATGATGATAAGGTGGGAGAATCAGTAGAGTTTTCCTTTCTGTATATTCAGGTGTAATCCGTTAATGGCTTGAACTGTTGTTTATTTTAGGGAGTAAAACTGGAAATTCTGTATGGAGGAAGTAGAAATGGACTTTAGTTAAGATTGCATAGAGATTAAAGAATAACAACCCAAATCCCTTTTGATGGGTTTTGGAAAACATAATAATTTACTGAAACTATCCCTAATACATATATCTATATTTGTATCTGTATGTATATACACATATATACATTTATATCATGCAATATTATTATATACATATGTAACAGTACATATATACATTTAGATGTATATATGTTTAACAGACCCTTAGCACCATATATGTATATACCTCTTATATATATCTGTATTGTACATAATTGTTTGCATATTGTCTCCCCCATTACATTGTGAGCTTCTTGAGAGCAGGCACTGTTTTCTGCCATTCTTTGTATCTTCAGCCTGGCATAGAGTAGGTACTTTACAAACGTTTAAAAATTGACTAATT